AACTATGACATTTATAAATGTATGAATCATTTGGTGAAAAACTGACTTTGAAAAATAAATCTGTTCTTTTTTCTTATAAAAGGCTAAATAAAACAAAAAATATTGGAGGTAATTTTTGACTGTGTAACTTCACAAACCCATAGCCCCACAATCTTATTTGGGATCACCATATTTAAGCAGAAAAACATCAAAGATGACAGAAAAATCACTTTAAGAAGACAGAAAACAAGTGGAAAACATAGTTGGACACAACAATTGTGAATTAAGAAGCAAAACTTTTGCTAAAAGATCTAAACTCAACAGCAGGAAACAAAAGGAATAAAATACACAAAGAGGTGCAAAGTAATTCTGATAATGATGTAATTAAAAATGACCTGTTTGAGATCGAGGGCAAAACATAAAATGAGAATTACATGAAATAAACTGAATCAGAAAGGAAACAATCAAACTGAGGCAAGAAGAAATTCTAAAAAGATTAGTGCAAAAAGTACTCCAAATAACTCCAAAACAACCAAGATCAAACCTGAATCCAACGATCAAGTGAGGCAAAATGAGCAATATGTTAAAAAAACATAAAAATGTTTTTACACCATTTAAAAACAGTTTTGTCTCCCTCTTTTTGTTTCTATCTCAGGGTTCGTTCCCGGGGCTCTTGGAATTAGTTCTGGTGTTGCGTCCCTCCACTTTGTTCCAGCGGACCCTCTCCGACTTCTTGTTCAAGTTCAACAAGGATGAGTTCAAAATGAAGGTGTGTTTGCACCAGGCAAGCTTTATTTCTCCCCCAGCGGATCCAGCTTTTGTTTTTATAGACAGGACATGTTGGACGGCGCCGTCCGTCAGCTCTAAATTAAAGGTCAAACTTCACGGCTGGAACACCTCATGGGTTAAGGATGAGCCTTATTAATGTCAGGGTCACGGGGTCAATGATCACAGGTGACCCCTTTTTGTTAAAAACTCGTCTCTGACATCAGAGTAACGTAGAAATGTCCAACCCTTTGTCCGCTAGACTGTCCCTGTCATCCAAAAGACAGTCCACAGGAAGGTGTTCATGGTGGAACTCCACAAATGTTCAGAAAATCAAATGTCATTAAACTATGGCTCTACATTGGACCTCATTTTTATTAAGACCACTTCCAGTCTTGAGTGGTACTCATGAAGTCTACACTGATTGGTTTGGATGGGCTGGTGGTCATTACAAGGTAAGTTCTTCACATTCCACCTGGTGGCGACAGTTTCCTGTTTTTACTTGTTCTTTGTCGGACTGTTTGTCAAATGACACCACGTCATTATCAGTGAAACTGATATTTGACCCCTCCACAACCTGGATGTTCAGGATCATTGTGTGAGGGAGTTCATTCTATGGATTCGACTGACAGACGCAGTATTTACTGTTGGTGGTGCCCTTGTTTATTTGTTCTTCTTGAGTTAATAATTCTGAATGAATTCAGTCATGTGTCATGTGATTGGCTTATTGTGTGTGTTTCCGTCAGGTGGTGATGCTGAGTTCAGTGACTGAGCTCCATGCTTACATCGACCCMGGGCAACTGACCACTGAGCTGGGCGGCACACAGGAGTACTGCCATGACAGCTGGATTTCACACCGCACTGTGTGTTGACTCTCACACACACTTAGAGTTTGTTTATTGCATGCTAACTAAAAAACACAAAGAAATATTAACTAGAGAAATTGCATTTCTTACGAAAATGCAACTGTGAATGCTTCTTGCTGTAAAATGTAGCTGAAAGCTGCTGAAATGGAGCTGAAAATGGTTAATACAWGTTGAACTTGGAAAGCTGAAAGAAAGCATAAAAATGCAGAAATGAGCAGAAATTTAGCTAAAATAGCAGAAAAAGCTAAAATTAGCATAAAAAGCTAAAGGTAGCAGCCGCAAGTTGAAATTAGCACCCAGATGTTAAAAGTTTTGTAACAGGTTTAAAATTAGCAGACAAAAAGCATAAAAGTACAAAAAAAAAAGATAATTTCTTGTAAAATAGCTAAAAAAGCCAAAATTAAAACAGTGAAACAGCTACAATGTATCATGAAATTCTTGAATTAGCATAAGGAAGCATAAGGTGCACAAATTAGCTGAACTTAGCAGAAATAAGTTGTAATAGCTACAATAAAATGTGTATTTAGCTTAAAAAAGATAACTTTAGCTAATAACAGCTGGACATTAGCTAAATTGCAGCAARTAGCTGAATATAAAGCAACCGTAAGAAGCTGAAACAACTCAAATTAGCAGAAAGAAGCACAAAAAAGTAAAAAAATAGCAATAGAATGGCAGAAAAAAGCAGAATTATAGCTGAAAGAGCAGAAAAAGCAAAAGTTAGCAAAAATAAGCTAAAATTAGCACAAGGAAGTTAAAAATTGCAGAACCAGAACAAAAGGTGTAAGGTGATGTAAAGATTTAGAAACATTTTGAAAGATTTAGGGATGTTGAAAACAGCTCCATTCATTTTCAATGGGAAAAATGTGGCAGAAAAAGTGAAATCGCTAAAAAAGTATAAATAGCAGAAATACCAAAAGTCGTAGCCGGACTGTCCTGAAGAAGCTGAACGTTTTGATGAATACATTTTTAAAATAGCACAAAAATTGCAGAAGAGATATGTGCCAAAAAAACGCGCAGAAGAAAAATACTGATCTCAACAGTGTGAATGATTGTGAAGCATTCTTACTATAATTCTGTGTGTCTTCCACAGGCCATTGAGGCTTTCGCCCTCATGGTAAAAACCACGGCTCAGACCCTGCAAGCGTTTGGAACCGAACTCGCCGAGACMGAGCTGCCCAATGACGCTGAGGCCACCACCAACCTGCTGCACGCTCACACATCAAAGAAGGATCAAATGAAGGTGAAGGGGCRCTTTTCCTTTTTCCTCCTTATAAATGTTGAGCAAAGGTTTGAAAAATAAGATGCCAAGTTTGCTGACGGAACTGAAAGATGCTAAAACGATTGCTGTAATTTGCAGGAGGACCTGAAGGTGGCGCTGTCTCAAGGAAAACGCCTGTTGGCTTATATAAATGAGCCTCTGGAGACAGATCCTGAGTACAACATGACGCAAGATGAAATTGAGAACTTGTGTACTGTACAGAGGTACAAGAAAGAGACGAATACAAACACCAGGACCAAAAGCTGTTTTCCCTGAAGTTGAACCTCCTCTCTTTCTCTCCCTCCCCTCCTTCAGACTCCTGGGTCAGCTGAATGAAACGGAGAYGGCGTTCGACCATTTCTGGGAGCGTCATCACACCAAGCTGGAGCAGTGTTTGCAGCTGCGCCACTTTGAAAAGAGCTTCCGTGAAGTGAGTTGGCTTCGATTAAGAAGGAAAAAAATAATAAGAAGAAGTCGTTCATTTTCTGTTCAGGGATGAGACGTGTTTGACATCTTTATCGCTTCCCAGGTGCGCAGCCAGCTTGATGTGATGTCTGAGCGGTTACTGGGTTTCTCTGAAGTCAGCATAAGCCCCGCCCACGCCGAGCACGTCCTCAGAGAGCTCAGCAGCCACGAGGACAAAGCTTGCGTAAGATATTCACTCTTGGTTCTGAAAACACCTGCTTACTGTTGTAAATGTGTTGCTTCGACACATCCATCCATTTTCTGACGCTTGTTCTGGAGTCAGGTGTCGGGGGCYCAGACCTCTCCTTCCACAGCCATCTCTTCCAGCTCTTCCAGGGTGATTCCAACGTGTTCCCAGACCAGCCCAGAGACATGGTCTCTCCAGCGTGTCCTGGGTGTTCTCTGGGGTCCTCTCAGTTGGACATGAAAAGGCAGGTCTACAGGAGGCATCCTTACCAGATGCCTGAACCACCTCAACTGATTTTTCAATGYTGAGGAGCATACTCACAGAACAACCCCCACAGAATACCTGGAGAAACATCACACCTTCTCCATATCCACAAAACACAYGCAAGCCTCAGTCCTACRAAATYGCCTCACAGACCAGTCTGGCTTTAAGCTCCCTYGCTTTATTCATAAATCGCAGGTGAAGGTTCCGCTCACATGTACGGGTTCAGAAATTAACCCAGCAGCGTGGAACCAAAAGAGGCATGGAGCAGATCTCAGCTCGGCTCATTTGATGGACGTCTGCCTCGTATAAAAAAAAAACTAAAATTTCTTATTTATATTCAATATAAACTGTGCTTCAGTATTTTTAAAGTAACTACAAAGTTGCTGTTTCGCATCWTCTTTAATATTCCCTGGGTAATAAATCTGTTGATTAATCCTGCSGTCACTCACTGATGTMATCAGTTCATTGTCATTTTTTGAGCCYGCCCAGCTCTGATACTGATCCGAGGACAGAACACACAACAGTCCCAGACTGAGCTGTCTTATGACTAATGCTGTGAGGACCCTATTAGGGCTGCATCTAATGATTATTTTGAAAGTCGATTAATATGTCAATTATTTTTTTTGATTAATCGATCAGTCACTGTTATTTATGTCCCAACGTCCTTCTATGCTTCCTGTGTGAGGGGCTGTTAACCTGCCCTGCAGGGCRCAGATGTAGCTTTGCAAAATAAACTAAAGAATAACTTTGGTAAAGTGACACTGAAGTGATTAAAGTAAAAAAGAATCCATCTTTTTTTAAATCTTGCTSGATCTGACAGTCCAAAAATTTAAATAATGCTTTAACGCAAACAAAAACAAAAACGTGAGAAGACGAGACAGGATGGCTTATCATAACTATAAATCAGTGATCATATGGCACTTAACACTTTAGCAAACGTTAGCATAACTGATGGCTCCGCTTCTAGGACCCACTTTGTTCTGGTAGATAATAAAACTAAAATTATAGACAGCTGGCTACAGCATGAAGTGATCAGTCGCTGAAAATAAGATTTATGAGGCATCAACCTGACAAACAAGCTAGCTTTCTGAAATTTATCCACCTGCAGTGGACATAATCATGGCTCCAGTGTGTTAGCGGCTCAAATGATTGTGATGTTTTCACTTCTGCTGTCCTGCCATGGAATGACCGAGTCAACATTTTACTTTCTTTGGTTGATTTTCAGTAAAATGTAGCCAACTTTTGAAAGTTTAAGTCTTGTTTTTGTTGGCTCTTTGATGTGACTGTCTTTCCGTTTTACCATTATTTCTCTTTGATTTGCCTTCTGTGGTTTACAGAAGGCACCTTTTCTTCAGCAGTAAACAATGCAACCACAGACAATAGAAGCGATACTGCCCCCAGCAGTTCATGGATTTCATTGCAGATATAAACAAATATTTACTTGGGTAATTAATACCAATATTTGATAATAAAATTCGGTGTCGATTACTTTTTATAATTGACGTTATCGATTATTTTGTATGATCGGTGCAGCACTAGACCCTAGTGAGGGTAAAGAGCTGACCCAGTGTTTTGCGTCACTGACCAGACTTTCTTCTCCAACAACCCTGAATACATCTTACCAAGGAGGACAGCGATGTCTCTGTGGGTAGAACACACCCTCCAGTTCCCCCTTTTTGAAGAGGAGAACCACCACAGCCCCCAATGTCCATACAATGTTACAAAGGCGAGTCAACCAAGACAGCCTTGAGGACCTAGGTGGATCTAGTCCAACCTCTGGAACCCTTCTGGTGTAGAGCTGGTGCTAATTATCTCAATGACTTCAGCCCCAGTCATGGACAGACCAAACTCCAGTTCAACCATCTCAGCTCCCTCCATGTATAGTTTAGCATTTTTTGTGGCTGTGTTTTACAACCTTTGTAGAGGTTTTCATCCATTTATGAATAAATGCATTTCCTTACACTGAACACTAGAGGGAGTAGTAACACCGTAAAAATAAATATGAGCATATTTAGGCTGTTTTTTTAGCTACTGATGGAAGGCATTTCATCTATACCATACCTGACTTCAGTTAACTTAATAGTCTGATATTACGTTCAGACACGTTCATTGTGTTTTACCAGGACCTGGTAGACTTCGCTCTGTCCTTGGCCAATGAAGGCGACGGCCTTATAAAAAACTCCCACTATGCTGAGGACTCCATCAGRCCAAAGTGCAATGAGCTGAGAGAAGTGTGTGAGGAGATCAGCTCGACTCTGAGGAGCAAGAAGAGCCTCTTGCTCAGAGCGCTGGAGCTCCACCAGGCTTTGGAGAAGGTAGGAGTCAAGGTCCACAAAGGAGGTTGCCTTTAGAGCTTCCAAGTACCGATATCTGGAAGTGTGTTCTCTGCAGGCGTCCCAGTGGTGTGAGGATGGCATCTTCCTGCTGGCGAACCAACCAGTGGATCGTTGTCAGTCTCAAGATGGAGCCGAAGCTGCCCTGCAGGAGCTGGAGCGATACTTGGACACAGCAGCTCTCCACACCCTCACAGACCACAGCGCCATCTGCTGTCAGTACGATGCGGTGCTCAGTCCTCCGCTCAGGGTCAGAAACCTCACACACATCAGATTTAATCATTCACACTCGTAGTTGCGTGTTTCCAACAACATACATGGCTGTGTCAGAGCTCTGTCCTCCATCCTCCATCAGGACCTGATAGACAAAGTTTTCCAGAAGCAAAGCTCTGTCCAGGAGATGTTTGAGAAGAGACGGGTCAGCCTGAAGAAGCTGGCCGCCAAGCAGACGAGACCGGTCCAGCCAGTGGCTCCAAGGCCTGAGATCAAGTCTCCTCTTTCCTCTCCGAGTAAGACTCAATCAAGTYTGTGTTTGATTTAAAAATACTCACATCGCAAACACCTAGATTGAAGGTGATCGTTTTGTCTCCAGATCTAGAGAGAAAAGAGAGGAGACATTCAGCAGATAGTGCCCTCTGCAAAAAGGTAGAAGCCTTATTTTTACAGTCTTCTATATTTGTAGAAAGTTGGACAGGATTATAAGCAGTTGGAATGTTTCCAGGTGGAGTCCACCGTACACAACGGTGTCACAAGACACGCCTCTCTGTCAGAAGAAGAAGAAAACCTGGCGGTGCTTCGGCGGTAAGTGTTCATCCACAGATCAAAAGGTGGTTTATTTGCAGGGATCCTTTGATGGAACAAGAAGTTTGACTCTCCCCTTGTATTGACTCTATGGTTTCCAGTCATGTGATGAATGAGCTGCTGGAGACAGAGCGGGCGTACGTGGAGGAGCTTCTATGTGTGCTGGAGGTGAGTCCGCTCTACATTTGCAGATCCATCTCCTGCACGTGTAGTTGGTTTGTCTGCTTGGCTGATGTGCTGGTAATCTTCAGGGCTACGCAGCAGAGATGGACAAGCCCTCCATGGCTCACCTCATCCCCAGCAGCCTGCTCAGCAAGAAGGACATCCTCTTTGGGAACATGCCTGAAATCTACCAGTTTCACAAAACGTGCGCTTCTTTTTTATTTAGTTCTTTTTTCAAAGGTCTTTTATTTGAGTTTGGTCTGTTTTTGATTGCCTGTAGGACGTTTCTAAAGGAACTTGAGGAATACACCGACTGCCCAGAACTCGTGGGTCGCTGCTTTTTAGAACGGGTAACAAAAAGAACATTCACCTCAGCAAAACGTTTCCCAGCTGAAGAACTTACAGAAATGGATTTTGTTCCTTTTCTCCTCAGATGAAGGACTTGCAGATCTATGAGGCTTACTGCCAGAATAAACCTCGCTCTGAGAGTTTGTGGAGGCAGTGCTCCGACTGTGCCTTTTTTCAGGTCAGCGTCGCTTTCACACTTCACTCCAAACAAGCCTCTCTGACGTACCTTAACTGGTTTTTGTTTTGAAAAATCCAGGAATGCCAGAAGAAGCTGGAACATAAACTTGGTTTGGACTCCTACCTCCTTAAACCTGTCCAGAGAATTACCAAGTACCAGCTACTGCTTAAAGTGAGCACCAYACTTATACTTTACAAACACAGGAAGATGTTAGACTCATTTCTAGAAACATCCTAAATAATTTAGTGTATGTTATTCCTCTTTATTTAAGGTTTTGAGTTGTATGATTTATAAAGTCCCTCAGAGCTCAAATAAAAAATCTTTTTGCAGCAATGAAGCAAAGCGGAAAGGTAGCATTGTCCTCTGTTGTTGTTGCAGGAGATGTTGAAGTACAGTAAGGGCTGTGACGGCTGTGAAGACCTCCAGGAGGCTCTCTCCTCCATCCTGGGCATCCTGAAAGCTGTTAATGACTCCATGCACCTCATTGCCATCACAGGTTACGAGGTCTGTGAAAGTACAGTACAAAATACCATCTCTAAGATTTCTAGTTTTTTAACATTTAAATGCAAAACTCAAGAAAATCTAGAGAAACTGTGAATGCTGAGGGCAGAAAGACTGAGCTGTTAAAGCTAAAAAAGCAAAACGCTACCAAAAAACTAAAATAAAAACCTACCAAAAATCTAAAGTATGCAAAATGCTAGCTAAAAGCCAACATTAGCAACAATCTGAAAGTTAAATATAGCAAAATGTAAAAGTAGTAAAACACTAGCTCAAAGTTTTAAAATGCTAGCCCAAAGCTAGAAACTAGCTACATTTAGTGAAAGAACAACAGTCTAGCTAAAGGCTAACAAAAGGCTAACAGTTTCAAATAGTAGCAAAACAAATGCTCAAAATATCTTAAATCTATCTAAATCTATAAATAAATAACCAGTGGTGGGCACAGTTCCCCTAAARCWCTAAAGCACCAATAGGGAACTAATTTCATGATTAGTGCTTTAGGGCTTTTGCTAATTAAAAAAACTATTATTGAATTAGCACTTGCTAAATTTAGAAGCACCACTAACTGATGTTTTTAAATGTTATTGATCAACATTAATGTTAACAGCTGAGGGTGAAAGCTGTCGCACATTTTCTTCATATGTGTGTCAGTTATTCAGTATGTGACAATATATTGACAATATGAACCTAAATATGGCTGAGGAATATCAATGATAAGTCTTAGGAGAGCAGCATGACAACATGTGACTCATGTTGTCTGTTGAAGAATGGTCCATGGATTGATTGGGTTATTTTAGTGCTTTAGAATCAAATTTTCAATGCATAGTGCTTTACAATTAGGGAACCTAGTGAGTTAGTGCTTTAGGGCTAGTGGAACTAATTTATAGATTAGTGCTGCCCACCACTGGAAATGACCAAAATTAATTAAAACCAAAACTAGCTAAATTCAATTAGAAAAAAAAGTAGTAGAAGACTAACTTAAAAAAGTGAAAGGCTATCAAAATGTAGCTAAAAACAACAGGCTTTCTTAAAGCTAAAAATAGCAAAAGGCCAACTAAAAGCTAGAACTACCATATTTCAGCTAAAATCAGCAAAATGCAAGCTAGCTGTTTTAAAGAGTTTGCTGTAAACTAAAAGAAGATACATGTTAGATAAAATCCTAAATGAGCACATTTCTAGCTAACAAAAGCAATAAGCTAGTTAAAAATAGCAAAACAGCAGCTCAAAGTATCAAAAGCCTAGCTCAAATTTAAAACTTGATTAGTTTAGTTCAAATAGCAACAGGCTAGTCCAGGCTAAAGGTAAAAAAAGGCTAACCTAAAGCTACAACTAGGTACAGAATTTCATTCCACCACATGTATGTGTGTTGCGAATGACAATAAAACTTCCTTGAATCCTTGAAGGTAAATGTAACTAAAAGTAGCAAAATACTTGCTAAATCAATACTTGCTGTATCAAAAAGCTAGCAAAAAGTAGATAAAGGCTAGCTAAATTTATCAAAAGGCTATCTAAAAGCTAAATGTGGCTAAAAGAAAGATAGGATGACAAAAAATAGGGCAAATATTCTGAAGAGAACAGCACTTGAGTGAATTGATAAGATCACTATTTAAAAAAAGGTAAACTTTTTGAAAGTGCTAAAGTTACAAAAACATGAAAGCCAAATGTGGACATTTTCCGCTGATAATTTTTTTTCCATGGTTTTCTCATGAAAACAAGTGTAGACGCATGYTGCGCTGCAGTCGGGCCAGCCGTCTCCTTAAAWGATGAGGGCTGATTTGAAAGTTATCTGTACAAGACGAACGAACTGCAATTTCAGCCGGTGTTATGATAGTAAACTTCATCTGTAAGGGGATCGTCTCCTTGAGTACTGGATGATACACAAGAGGAAAACCATAACTCGTTATCTCGAGAAAACTCTCATCGTTATTTTGTGATAACGACATAATTAACTCATTTTCTCAAGAAAACACTCATCAATATGGAAAAATGTTATCAGAGGATATGTCCGCTCCTGGCTTCCGTACAAAAATCTCCTGAGTTAAACAGTTTGATGTACAAGATTTATGTACCATAAGAATAKATTGCTAAATCTGGTATTTAGCAGACAGGATGGTAAACCTCCATCTGTAAAAATATTAMATAAAAAATCAGACCAGCGCAGTTGTGTCTATAAAATCAAAGGTTTTACACATRTGCATATGATCTTTTCATCTTTAGGGTAACCTCTCGGACCTCGGCCGCCTGCTGATGCAGGGCTCCTTCAGCGTGTGGACAGAACATAAAAAAGGCCAYGCCAAGGTAAAGGACCTGGCCCGGTTCAAGCCCATGCAGAGGCACCTGTTCCTGCACGAGAAGGCCCTGCTCTTCTGCAAGAGGAGAGAGGAGAACGGGGAGGGCTACGAGAAAGCGCCGTCGTACAGCTTCAAACACTCCCTGAACGTAAGTTTAAAGAKGGCTCGCCCTCGCAGAAAATGTTTCCTCTGTACGTAAACGCTCTGGATCTGTTCAGATGAGCGCTGTTGGAATCACGGAGAATGCCAAGGGAGACAACAAGAAGTTTGAGATTTGGTGCAACTCCAGGGAAGAAGTTTTTATAGTCCAGGTAACATCCCACAGCTTTATTGCTTTTACCAACTATTGCTTGGAAAGAAAAGTCAGCAAAGAGAATAACTTGTATTTTACAGGCCCCTACGCCCGAGGTCAAAACAGAATGGGTGAAAGAGATCCGTAAAGTTCTGACTCAGCAGCTCAAAGCGTGCAGAGGTAGGCTCGTTTCCATCTTTTTGCCCGGCGCAGCAGCTTGTCACTGCAGTAAACTGCTTTTTGTTTCAGACGCCCGCCAGCAGAAAAGCTCTGACTCAGTTTCTCCAAATCCCACCAGCAACAACACCACCGTCTCCCTCAGGTTGGTGTCGTATTTCATGTGTTCGTTTCAGAAGGAAGGGATATCAACGGAACACATTTTCCACTTGTGCTCTCTTMCAGCCCCTTCCGCAGCAGCAGCAATCAGAAGAACCAGAAGAAGCAGGAGGAGAAGAAGGCAGAGCAGAGTCTGACCTCTGACCCCAACTCATGTTCTTCACCCAAACACAAAGGTGATTTAATGCAGCAAGCCCCGCCCCCCTCTCTGTGGACGCTGCCCTGTCTACTCTCTGTAACCTGGACTCCTCTTTTCTTCATCACCTTCATCTCCACGGTTCCGCTTCCTATTTCTCCCCCCTCCTCGTCCTGCTTCTCATTTCAAACCATCTCCCTCCAGATGAAGTCGTGACCAGCCCAACCACTGACCGGTCCTCAGTGGCTAAAAAGCGTTTTACTTTGCAGGGTTTCAGCAATCTAAAGAGTCCCAAAGGTAATGTGAGGAACAGGCTCACGAGGTTTAAAGCAGATGGTCCTCTTAAAGGGCTGGTTCAGATCTGTTTCTCCAAACTGAGGCTGTTTAAAAATCAATGGCTGTGTCTCAATTCATGGGTTGTGGCCCACGTCAGCCACAGTCGACGTGGGCTGTAGGCCGCTCGTGTCGGCTGCGTACACGGCTGTGAAATGAGACAGTTTAGTCTACAGAAGATGTATGTTTGCGTGACCACGCGCTGCCTCGTTACCATTGTGATATGTTTTATATCACAGCACTTCACTTGATTTTTTTTTAAGGTATAACGTCACAAATTTCAGTTTTAATAGAAAAAAGTTACAAGTAAATAGGTAAAAAGCATTAATAATTTGGGTTTAGCGTCAGTTTCAGTACCTGTTAACTGCATTTTATTTAACGTCTCATTGCAATAAAATTTTATTCAGTTAAGTTGTTTAACTTACATTTTTCGGTCTGTGATAAATTTCCAAACTCTGTCATTAAAAAAAAAATTACTCGGCTGTAAAATATAAAAATGACCTTTGCAGTCTTTGTTTGTCTGTTTAGTTTGCTGACAGCACAATGAATTTTGGGATACTGTTTTCGAGTTTTGTCGTCTGCATTTTTCGGCCGCATGTGTAGGTGCCAACAAATTGGAACAGCCTACGGCACGGACCAGTGATGTAACTGACCAACAAATGCGGCTGCAACCCGTGAATTGAGACGAAGCTCTYTACTGTTCCTAATCTTTTCAGTGAACCCTATTTTAAAGGGTCTAAACTGTCCCTTTAAGACAACCATCTATCAGTGTCAGATTTGTCTGCCTCCTGGTGGTTAAAGTGAAGTATTGCTTCTGATTCAGGGCTCCTTCAATGTAAAATGTGTTTTCTTTTTTTTCCTGCTCTTTCTTCCTCCCTGACTCTTCTCTCTTCTCTTCTTCTGAACCCTCTCCATGCCCAGGCTCAGCTCTGAGCCCTGAGCATACCTCCAAACGCCACTTGGTCAAAAGTGACCCCACACCATTTGGCTTCAAAGGTAGAGTGTTGTTCCATCATCCCCTCATGGTGGGAGATTTAGTTTTAGAGGCCATCGTTCATTTTCAATTTCCTTGTTGATTTAAAATTTCACCAGCATCTAACTACAACTTAATTTTTTTTTAAAGTTGAGACGTTGTGTAAAATGTCAATAAAACTCTGATAAACATATTTTGTTCAAATTGGAGCACAGTAAACACATGAAATGTACAGTTTTTAAT